GAGCCCAGGAGACTCTAGGAGACCCCAAGAGAGCCCAGGAGACCCCAAGAGAGCCCAGGAGACTCTAGGAGACCCCAAGAGAGCCCAGGAGACCCCAAGAGAGCCCAGGAGACTCTAGGAGACCCCAAGAGAGCCCAGGAGACCCCAAGAGAGCCCAGGAGACTCTAGGAGACCCCAAGAGAGCCCAGGAGACCCCAAGAGAGCCCAGGAGACTCTAGGAGACCCCAAGAGAGCCCAGGAGACCCCAAGAGAGCCCAGGAGACTCTAGGAGACCCCAAGAGAGCCCAGGAGACCCCAAGAGAGCCCAGGAGACTCTAGGAGACCCCAAGAGAGCCCAGGAGACCCCAAGAGAGCCCAGGAGACTCTAGGAGACCCCAAGAGAGCCCAGGAGACCCCAAGAGAGCCCAGGAGACTCTAGGAGACCCCAAGAGAGCCCAGGAGACCCCAAGAGAGCCCAGGAGACTCTAGGAGACCCCAAGAGAGCCCAGGAGACCCCAAGAGAGCCCAGGAGACTCTAGGAGACCCCAAGAGAGCCCAGGAGACCCCAAGAGAGCCCAGGAGACTCTAGGAGACCCCAAGAGAGCCCAGGAGACCCCAAGAGAGCCCAGGAGACTCTAGGAGACCCCAAGAGAGCCCAGGAGACCCCAAGAGAGCCCAGGAGACTCTAGGAGACCCCAAGAGAGCCCAGGAGACCCCAAGAGAGCCCAGGAGACTCTAGGAGACCCCAAGAGAGCCCAGGAGACCCCAAGAGAGCCCAGGAGACTCTAGGAGACCCCAAGAGAGCCCAGGAGACCCCAAGAGAGCCCAGGAGACTCTAGGAGACCCCAAGAGAGCCCAGGAGACCCCAAGAGAGCCCAGGAGACTCTAGGAGACCCCAAGAGAGCCCAGGAGACCCCAAGAGAGCCCAGGAGACTCTAGGAGACCCCAAGAGAGCCCAGGAGACCCCAAGAGAGCCCAGGAGACTCTAGGAGACCCCAAGAGAGCCCAGGAGACCCCAAGAGAGCCCAGGAGACTCTAGGAGACCCCAAGAGAGCCCAGGAGACCCCAAGAGAGCCCAGGAGACTCTAGGAGACCCCAAGAGAGCCCAGGAGACCCCAAGAGAGCCCAGGAGACTCTAGGAGACCCCAAGAGAGCCCAGGAGACCCCAAGAGAGCCCAGGAGACTCTAGGAGACCCCAAGAGAGCCCAGGAGACCCCAAGAGAGCCCAGGAGACTCTAGGAGACCCCAAGAGAGCCCAGGAGACCCCAAGAGAGCCCAGGAGACTCTAGGAGACCCCAAGAGAGCCCAGGAGACCCCAAGAGAGCCCAGGAGACTCTAGGAGACCCCAAGAGAGCCCAGGAGACCCCAAGAGAGCCCAGGAGACTCTAGGAGACCCCAAGAGAGCCCAGGAGACCCCAAGAGAGCCCAGGAGACTCTAGGAGACCCCAAGAGAGCCCAGGAGACCCCAAGAGAGCCCAGGAGACTCTAGGAGACCCCAAGAGAGCCCAGGAGACCCCAAGAGAGCCCAGGAGACTCTAGGAGACCCCAAGAGAGCCCAGGAGACCCCAAGAGAGCCCAGGAGACTCTAGGAGACCCCAAGAGAGCCCAGGAGACCCCAAGAGAGCCCAGGAGACTCTAGGAGACCCCAAGAGAGCCCAGGAGACCCCAAGAGAGCCCAGGAGACTCTAGGAGACCCCAAGAGAGCCCAGGAGACCCCAAGAGAGCCCAGGAGACTCTAGGAGACCCCAAGAGAGCCCAGGAGACCCCAAGAGAGCCCAGGAGACTCTAGGAGACCCCAAGAGAGCCCAGGAGACCCCAAGAGAGCCCAGGAGACTCTAGGAGACCCCAAGAGAGCCCAGGAGACCCCAAGAGAGCCCAGGAGACTCTAGGAGACCCCAAGAGAGCCCAGGAGACCCCAAGAGAGCCCAGGAGACTCTAGGAGACCCCAAGAGAGCCCAGGAGACCCCAAGAGAGCCCAGGAGACTCTAGGAGACCCCAAGAGAGCCCAGGAGACCCCAAGAGAGCCCAGGAGACTCTAGGAGACCCCAAGAGAGCCCAGGAGACCCCAAGAGAGCCCAGGAGACTCTAGGAGACCCCAAGAGAGCCCAGGAGACCCCAAGAGAGCCCAGGAGACTCTAGGAGACCCCAAGAGAGCCCAGGAGACCCCAAGAGAGCCCAGGAGACTCTAGGAGACCCCAAGAGAGCCCAGGAGACCCCAAGAGAGCCCAGGAGACTTCGTGTGGGCCGGTCCCGGGGGTCCCCAGGTGGCTGATCCCGAACCGGAGGGGTTTTCGCAGCGACAGAGTGAAACCGGTTCAAGGAGGGGGGAACTGGCTGAGACAGAGTGAAAAGGGGGAAAATTGACCCGAAATAGGAGCCGGCAGAAATCGCATTAAATGGACCCAAACAGGGAGGGAAACAGACCCAATCCTGCATGAAATAGCCCCGAAGTGGGGGATGCCGGCCCCAAAGTGGGCAAAGTAGACCCCAAATTTGGTGAAGCATCCTCCAGAGCAGGGAGAAAAATAGCCCACGGCGGATGAAATTGCCCCCAGGCTAGGAGAAAGTGACCCCAAACGGGGAGAAACAGACCCAAAACGGGGAGAAAGTGACCCCAAACGGGGAGAAACCGACACAAAACGTGGAGAACCCGACCCAAAACGGGGAGAACCGACACCAAAGTGAGGAAAAATGGCCCCAAACTGGGTGAAATTGGCCCAAAGCGGATGAAACTGACCTCAAAAGGGGGAAAATCGACCCAATCCTTCTGAAACTGACCCAAAAGGGGGTGAAATCGACCCAAAAGAGGGGGAAATTGACCCAATCCGTCTGAAACTGACCCCAAAAGAGGGTGAAATCGACCCAAAAGAGGGTGAAATCGACCCAATCCATCTGAAACCGACCCAAACGAGGGTGAAATCGACCCAAAAGAGGGGGAAATCGACCCAATCCGTCTGAAACTGACTCAAAAGAGGGTGAAATTGACACAAAAGAGGGTGAAATCTACCCAAAAGAGGGTGAAATTGACCCAATCTGTCTGAAACTGACCCAAAAGGGGGTGAAATCGACCCAAAAGAGGGGGAAATTGACCCAATCCATCTGAAACCGACCAAAACGAGGGTGAAATTAGCACGAAAATCGGGCAAATTGACACAAAACCAGACCAAATGGCTCCAAAGCGTGAAACTGACCCAAAATGGGGTAAAATCGGCCCAAACGGAGGCGAGCGGTGACCGCGGCCGGGGGGACGTCGACCCACGCCGAGGAGGGGGCGACACCGGGCGG